GCTGAGCTCCGAGGCAATCCATCTCGCGGTCGCAACCAAGTTTCCCAAGAGGCTGAGTGCAAGCATCTCTCTGCAGGTGCGCAGGAGGCGAGGCGAGGAGGACCTTCCTTTGCCGAGCGCAAGCACGACGGACATATTATCGCACAGTACAACGAGGCGGTGGCACTGAGCAGAGACCCGCCTCAGATGGTGCCTCACCGCCAGGATGACAGCACGGCCCTCCGTCCTCATGATGTTGTCTTGGAGACGCCACCGGCCCTTCACCTTCGGGCCCCAGTCGTCGAAGGCGCCGATATCGTCCGTGGCCGTCGCCGCCAGGAAGTCAGACCCCCCTCTCCTGGCGACGCGGCTGCCGTGCGCCCGCGGGGCCTCCACGCCCAGCATGTGGCACCAGGCGGCGATGGCGCCCATGACGTTGTACCTCCAGCGCTCGGCCTGGCACGCCAGGCGCTGGGCCACGTCCGCCTCGCTGCCCCGGCTCGCGACGCCGCGCCCGCCGGCGTCAGTGCCTGAGCTCCCCGAGGCGTCGGTGGCGTAGATGTCCGACGCCAGGGGCCTCTCCGGGCCCACGAAGCAGAAGCAGACCAAGGCGGCCGCACGGCGCAGCTCGAGCTCGACGCTGGCATCCGCCACCGGCGGCTGCCGGCGCGGTCGGCGAAGCGGTAGACGCTGTCAAAGATCGCCAGCAGCTCGCGGCGCACCAGCGCCGCCCACGTGAAGTGGCCCACCAGGCGGCACAGGTCGCCCCCCGCGATGTGCCGCTGGTCGGCCGCGCACAGCAGTCCGAGCCGGAGCCGCCAGAGCCGCTCGCGGCCCAGGGAGATCTTGCCACTCTCCGCGTCGAAGTGGAGGCCTGTGAACTTCTGCAGGCCCCCCGAGCGCTCCACGCCTTTGCAGATCAGCCCGTGGTCCTGCAGGCAGCGCGTCACGCCCTGGCAGCGCTGGTCGACCACGTTGGAGTCCGTGCCGAGGATCGCCGCGCCGTCGACGTACACGGCGGCAACCTACCCAGAGCGGACGTCCGGAGTGGCGCGGCGATCCCCCATGCACGAGGCGGCCGTCGGGGAACCCCGACCGCCGCACGGCGGTCTCCCCCATGGACTGGCAGAAGTACAAGCTCCACGTCCACCCCATCGGCAGCGCGCGGAGGAAGCCCGAGATCTCGCCCCCCTCCGGGAGCGCGAGCCCCGGGCGCGCCGCCGGCAGGGCCCGCCGGCTGACCGCCGGCAGGACGAAGCGCCGGCTCAGCCCGGGCGGCAGCAGGATCCTGTAGAACGCGCTGTTGACGCCGACCTGCGACAGGAAGAGCTTGTCGTCTGGCCCCAGCGCGAATCCGTTCCAGGCCCCCGCGGTGGGGAGCTGCGTGTAGCCCGGGTCGGCGAAGTCGTAATTCACCGCCCTGGTGTCGAATATCAGGCGTTGCCGAACTTTGTCGGACTTCAGCACGAAGAACATCCCAACTGTGGCCGGCTGCTCCGGCCCGAAGTACAGCAAGTTAGAGTCGTAGAGGTCGAGCAGAAAAGAAGCCAGGGTGGACTGCGATCGGACCAATTTCGGGTCATTGCATGGCTTGACCCGCCCCCCATGCATGTCTGAAACCGGGCGCATCAGCCGGTCCTTCCGGCCCATCCATCCGTTGCAGAGGGCGCGGTCCCCGCGGGGGAGCGAGACGAGGCCCCGCTGGAAGGGCGCACGAATCTCCGGCAACTGCGCGTAGCCGGGAGCGTGCCCGCGCAGCTCAGGGAAGGTTGCCGCGGGGGCAATGCAGGGGGGGCCGACGGACGAGATCACGCCCTTCACGTGCTGCACGCCAGCCGCCTGCGCACTCGACAAAAACTTGTCGCCCTTTGGCGCGCCATTTGAATAGAGGCCGTTGGGCGCCTCGTGGACCTCGCACCCCAAGTCGCGGGCGCACTCGGCCTGCCGGTGTCTCGAGCGCGCGGCGCGGCAGCAGCGGGCAGTCCTCGCTGCGCGGCCGCCGTCTCTGGGAGCCCCCACCGGCAAGAGCTCCCGAGCAGCGCTCGTCATTTGCCCCCGCGCCCGCGGCCGCCGCCTCTGCCGCCGTCGAGCTCTGCCTCGCCCGTCCGGTCGCCAAGGCGCGCCTGCAGGCGCTTGATCTCGTCCGCTTTCGATATTGCTCTCCAGTGCGGCGGGGGCGCCGCCGCTGCCAAGGGCGCCGCCGCCAGGCCCGCGCACGGTGGCCCTCTCCTCCCGCAGCTTGCGCCGCTCCTTGAGGACGGCCGCCTCCTTGTGGAGCTCCTCCGTGATATGGCGCTGCAGCTCGGGGGCCACCGTGAGCAGCCCCCCGCCGTCCCCACGTAGAGGTACTCGTCCTCCGCCACGTCGACCTCGGAGCCCCCGCCCGCCACCAGATGGCGGTGTCTCCACTCCGCCATCTGGGCCCGCCAAGCGAGGTACTCCAAGCAGGCCAGCTCCGAGGCCATGAGCTGGTCGTACACCACCGCCACCTCGAACATCCTCATCGCCAGCTCGTGGTCCGCCACGCCGGCGTCGCCGCTCTGAAGGCGGCGCTCCGCCTTCCACTTGGTTTGGCGGGCCCTCGGGCGCATGTCCTGCTCCCCGAGGAACTCCAGGCACCACTTGACCGCCCTCGGTCCGCGGACCGGCCAGTGGCTCCACTGCGACTCCTTCAGCAGCTTCACCGCGTCGCGGAAGACGCGCTTCCGCTCGCCGGAGTGGTTCTCCAGCACTGGCATCGCCCTAGCGTCCAGGTCGGCGCCCCCCTCCGAGGCCGTCTTCTTGTCGACCGCGCGGAAGAGGAAGATCCGCCCCCCGACCTTGGCGACTCCGAAGTCGCCGATCGTGGTGGCCCAGCTGTCGACCCGGTAGTCCTCGAGCGTCTGAGGGCCCAGGGCGCCGTCCGACACGCAGATCACCTGCCAGACCAAGGGGGCAGGGTTCTCGAGCACCCCCGCCCCGACCTCGACCTCAATGCCCGCTGGGCGACCCCGACCGGCTGAAGAGCCCGTCGCCACTGTCAGAGCCTTCACTCCGCTCGCTGCCGGCGGCTTCTTCCCAACCATGCGGTGGACGGGGGCTGAGCCGTCGGAGTCGCCCATCACGGCGAAGCGAATGGCCCGGCTGAGCTCGATCGGCGTGGGGGCCCAGTCCTCCCCGTAAGTCCTCGAACGCCACCATCGCCTGCCCTCGCCAAGGGACGGGTCGAACCAGTCCATCGAATCGGCGAGGCACAGACCGGCCAGAGGAGGCGCTGCGAGGAGGTGAGGGTAGGTGTCGCCGTCGAGGCTGAGGGCGTACCATATCCGGCTCTGGATCTCGGGATCGTCGATGGCGCTGATACCCATCACCTCGTCGAGGTCGCCCGCGCTCGCGGGCGTGAGCAGCAGTCTCACCTGCCAGTCTTCCCTGTCGTTCCAGAGCACGCAGACCCGCCGACCGGTCTCGAGCCCGCTGAGCACACGGGCAGCCATCGATGGCCGCGCAGCTGTACCCCAGCAGGAAGCCCACACCGCCGATGGCCACCACCAGCCCAGGCAAACCCCCTGGCAGGTTGGCCGCGAAGGCGCACTGGCCGTCAGCGCCCAGCACGGGGCCTATCGCGCCCCACTGTGAGGCAGCCCAGGAAGCGATACTGACGACTGTAAAAAGGGGCATGCGCTCTGCCGCTGGTCTGAGCCTAGAGCAACGGATAGAATCCAGCGGTCAGCCAAACTTTCCGCGCCAAGAAGTGCGGGCACCGAGGCAGGAGGATGATAACCACGGAACACAGGAAGCCTTCCACAAGAAAACCAACTCTGAGACCCCAGGACGTCCACGGACTTTTGGAGTGGGAACCTCACGCTTTCCATTGCAAAAACATGAAAACCCAAGACACCCAGGGCACCCTGGAGGCAAGCAGGGTATTTCTTGGCATGTGCCTACACTGTACACCAAAGATGCGTCAGCGATGCTGCAATACACCCTCCCATCCCAAGTTCCCTGCCCGTGCGTCCCTACAAGCTTTCCTTTTCGCTGCCAGAAGCGTCCCCCCCCGAAAGACTGGCACAGTTTGGCCTGCTGGTTTAGCGAGGGCCCCGCTTTCGAAATACAGTGGAGGCCAGTCCACAAGAAACCTTCACAAAAAACCCAACCATGAGACCCCATGGTGTCCGTTGATTTTGGGTGTGGGAACGTCACGCCTTGCACACAAAAGCCATAGGAAACACAAGAAGCACAAGAAACCCAGGGCACCGTGGAGGCAAGCAGGGTGATTCTTGGCATGGGTCTCCACTGTAAGTAGCCTCGCATCCTTCTGGCGCGCATCAGAAACGCGAGAAGCGATGATCATACGGCTCAGAGACATGTCCATGAAGGGGCCCCAGGACACACAAATAATTACAAACAAATAAAGCGATTCCCATTTTTTTCCTATATTTTCTGGGTTTTTGTTTTCCCCCCACTTCCCATATTTTCCCATATTTTCCGGGGGATCGACGATTAATTGTGTCTGTGTGCTTTTTCCCCTCCTGACTCCAGCGACGTCCCCTCCTAAGAGGAGGGGCCGCCCCCCCGTCCGCGGAGCTGCTGCGCAAGGCCGCGCCCGTGGTCCTACACCAAGCGGGGGAAGTCTCACGCGACACGATTCCGCTCTGGAAAGGGCCGACCCAGATCCGTGCAGCGCCACACCGTGTGGAAACGGCACGGAGTCTCCAGCGATAGCCCTGCGTAACCAAGAACCGCCATGCCTCCTTTGAGCGCTGCAGGAATTTATGTACATATATATATATATATATATATATATATAAAACATATATATATATATATATATACAACACAACAATGATCCCAGCGCGACCCTACCTAGGAATTGGAGCCCCTAGGAAAGCAACATTAGTAGCAACAGTAAAGTTAAGCTAAAGCTCAGATAAAGCTAAGCTAAAGCTAAGATAGAGCTACAGCGAAACTAAAGCTAAGCTAGATCTAAGCTAAAACTAAGCTGAAGCTAAGCTAGCTAAGCTAAAGTTAAGCGAAAGCTAAGCTAAAGTTAAGCTAAATCTAAACTAAAGCTAAGCTAAATCTAAGGTAAAGCTAAGCTAAATCTGAGG